ATCATCATCATCATCATCATCATCATAATAATAATAATAATAATAATCATAATCATCATAATCATAATCATACTCATAATCATCATCAGCATCATCATCATCAGCATCATTAGCATCGTCATCACTATCATCATCATCATCATCATCATCATCATCATCATCAGCATCATCATCATCATCATCAGAGTCATCACAATAATTCTCGCCATAAATATCACGACCACCATCATCATCACCATCATCGTCATCATCATCGCCGTCATCATCACCATCACCCCTCACACGTTTCGTGGCCCCATAGGGAGCTTCACCCAAAGCCCCAGAAACACCGTCCACATGCGTCCGCCACACCCATTTCGGCACACCCCTCATACGTTTCGTGGCCCCATAGGGAGCTCCACCCAAGGTCCCAGAAGCACCGTCCACATGCGTGGACCACACCAATTTCGGCACACCCCTAAACGTTTCGTGGCCCCACAGGGAGGTCCACCCAAGGCTCCGGAAACACCGTCCACATGCGTCCACCGCACCCATGTCGGCACCCCCTTCACATGTTTCGTTGTCCCATAGGGAGCTCAGCCCAAGGCCCCAGAAGCACCGTCCACATGCGTCCGCCGCGCACGTGTCGGCACACCCCTCATACGTTTCGTGGCCCCATAGGGAGCTCCACCGAAGATGATACTCACGACTGCGGTGCTCACAACTGCATATGGTTGGATCCTTCGCCAGTCTAATGTTATCAGAGATGACATCGTGTCACCACAATGGGGGGTTGGCCCTCGGTTTATAACGTCGGATTATAACAACAACCACAACGGCCCCCGCCTGATACTTCCCCACAGTTTACTTCACAATCGCGCTCTCGCGAGGGGCCTCGCAATTTATTCAAACGCCGCGCCCTCGACGCTCAGGGGGTCACACTCTCACTCTGGCCTTTCCCATTATTTCCTTGGGAATCGCGCTGTCGCTCGAAACCTCCTCGCGATTCATGCTGAACTCACGCTTCAACAACCCTCCTGCTCGACCTGGCCGCCTGGGCCCGCTTGCTCGACACGCCCGTTCGGGTCGACCCGCCCGATCTGCCTGTCTGGTTCTGCCGCGTGCTTTCCGCTCCTAGCCCCCTCCAACTAATGCGTCTCATGCTTCATCCGTCTCCTTCCCCCTTCATCCGTCGCCTCTTCCCCTAGTTCAGGGGCGGCGCTAAATACACGTGGCAGGTAAGGAAGACATACCCCGAGGGGCTACGATCTAAGACGACGACAGCGGGTACCGAAGGTTTGGGATGCACGTGTTATGAAGGAACGCGGGCACACACGCACGAACAATATTACGATGACTGTTGCTGTTGCTGCTGTTGTTGTGGGTGCTGTTGTTTTTGTTGCCGTTGTTAGTATCGTCATTACTATTCATAACCTTCAAATTCTTCTTATGAGTATACATCGGTTGCTGATGTTGTTTTTGTTGCTCTTGTTGATGCGGTTGTCGTGTTCGTTGAATTTTCATGTCTGCAAATTACTTATTGTTGACTCCCGCCCTCTGGTAACCATCGTCTGTTTCAATTGCAGTGCTCTTCCCGGTGCTCACAACCTGGTTTTTACATGGGGAACCGAGTTGTCACCAAACGAAGCCCCTGGCCCCCGAGTTGTAACAACAACGGCTCCCGCGTGATACTTCCTCACAATGTATTTCACATGCGCGCTCTCGCGCGGGACTTTCTCATAATGTATTCAGGAATCGCTCTCTCGCGTGGGACTTTTTCACAACTTATTCAAGCGTCGCGCCTGCAACCCTTAGGAATAGTGCTGTCGCTCTGGCCTTTTCTAACGATTTACTTGGGAATCGCGCTCTCGCTCGGAACTTGGAGGAGGAGGAGGAGGACGAGGAGGAGGAGGAGGAGGACGAGGAAAAGGAGGAGGAGGAGGAGGAGGAGGAGGAGGAGGAGGAGGAGGGGGAGAGGGAGTCTTGGGAAAACAAGAACCCCACTCAGGACGTGGGGGAAAAGAATTATGGCTGATCCCCCCATCGGTGCCTATCGTGAATTTTCGATTACAGTGCGCCTCCAGGGGCTCAAACCTGGTTTTTGACCTGGGACAATATTGGGCGTCAGACTGCGCCTGTGGCCTCCGACTTAGAACAACAATAGCCCCCGCATGGTCCTTCATCGCAACGTATTTCAAAGTCGCGCTCTCGCGCGGGACTACCTCAGACTATACGCAGGAATCGCGCTCTCGCGTGGTAGTTACTTCCTCCCAGTGTACTGCGGCGCTGCGCCCATAAGACTCAAGAGGCGCGCTGTCGCATGGGATTTCCTCACGGTTCGCTCTGAATTCGCGCTATCACTCGAAATTTCCTCGCGATTCATGGTGGATTGGCGCTTCAACGACCCGCCCGCTCGACCCGGCCGTCTGGACCCCCCCACACGACCTGGCCTCGAGGGCCCGCCCGCCCGACCCTTCCGTCTTGCTCTGCCGCTTGTGCTCCTGCTCCTGACCTTCGGTCGGGCAGGTCCCCCTACAGGCGGACTTTGGGCGAAATCTAAAATAATCAAGAATTCATCGAAAACGACGAAAATATCCGGGCGAAGGAACCAACCATTTGCTGTTGTGAGTGCCGCAGCTGTGGGTATCGCCCTCGGTGGAGCTCCCTATCGGCCACGAAGCGCTGTACTGCGTGGGGGAGACGCATGTGGACACCGCCGCTGCGACCTTAGGTGGAGCTCCATATGGGGCCACGCAACGCTGTGCTGGATGGGGGGGAGAGACGCATGTGGACACCGCCGCTGGGACCTTAGGTGGAGCACCCTTTGGGACCACGAAGTGCTGTACTGGGTGGGGGACACCCATGTGGACACCGCGACTTGTGCTTTAGGTGGAGCTCCCTATGGAGCCACGAAGCGCTGTGCTGGATAGGGGGGGACGCTCGTGGACACCGCCACGGGGGCTTTAGATGGAGCTCCATCTGGGGCCACGAAACGCTGTGCTGGGTGGGGGAGACGCATGTGGACACCGCCACTGGGGCATTGGGTGGAGCTCCTTATGGAGCCACGAAGCGCTGTGCTGGACAGAGGAGACGCATGTGGACACCGTCAGTGAGGCCTTAGGTGGAGCTCAATATGGGGCCACGGAACGCTGTACTAGATGGGGGAGACACATGTGGACACCGCCACTGGGGCCTTAGGTGGAGCTCCTTATGGAGCCACGAAGCGCTGTGCTGGACAGGGGAGACGCATGTGGACACCGTCAGTGAGGCCTTAGGTGGAGCTCAATATGGGGCCACGAAACGCTGTACTGGATGGGGGGGGACACTTGTGGACACCGCCACAGGGACCTTACGTGGAGAACCCTATGGAGTCACGAAGCGCTGTGCTGGGTGGGGGAGACGCATTTGGACACCCCAACTGGGACCTCAGGGGAAATTCCCTACGTGGCCACGAAGCGCTGCGCTGGGTGGGGGAGACGCATGTGGACACCGCCAGTGAGGCCTTAGGTGGAGCTCCGTGTGGGGCCACGAGACGATGTGCTGGGTGGGGGAGACGCATGTGGACACCGCCACTGGGACCTTCGGTGGAGCACCCTGTGGGGCCACGCAACGCCGTACTGGGTGGTTGAGACGCATATGGACACCGCAACAGAGACCTTAGGTGGAGCTCCCGTGGCCACGGAGCGCTGTGCTGGGTGGGGAACGCGCATGTGGACAAGCCACTGGGGCTTTAGGTGGAGCTCAACATGGTGCCACGAAGCGCTGTGCCGGGTGGGGGAGGACGCATGTGGACACCGCCATTGGGACTTTAGGTGGAGCTCCATCTGGGGCCACGAAACGCTGTGCTGGATGGGGGGGCGCATGTGGACACCGCCACTGGGGCCTTAGGTGGAACTCCCAATGGGGCCACGTAGTGCTGTATTGGGTGGGGGAGACGCATGTGGACACCGCCCTTGGGACCTTAGGTGGAGCTCCCCATGTGGCCACGAAACGCTGAGGACATGAGCAGGGCAGAGGCAGGGATGGGAGGAGGGAGAAGGGGGAGGAGGAAGGAAGGAGGGAGGGAAGGAGGAAGGAACGCGGGGACCGTCTCCCCAAAACGAGGACCCAACACCACAGGATGGTTGGGAATAGGCAAATCGTCCCCTGATATTTTTTTGAATATTTTTGTATTTTCGTCTGTAGAGGGACACGCCCGACTTAATCCTGACCACCCCTGCAAATCCCTCTCGTGCTCCATCCTTCTGCCCTCCCCCGCCGTCTCTTTAGGGAGCCCACAAAGGACGTACGCGCCCAGCTATGTACATGAACGCGGCCCCTCGATCCGCGAGACCGGCCGAGTTATACGAACATTTGCGCAATGCGTACTCTCGAAACCAGCGTGGATTCATGTACGTGTACGTCCTTTTGTCGCTCTGACTCTTCCCCCCTCCCTTGCAGAGATCATCTCGGGCGAGCAGTTGAGAGCCCCTTTGAGGCACGCCCTCGGAGGGCACGGCGTTCTTGGCTCGGCTCGGGGACGGCCCCGATGCGGCCAGGATGACCCGTGGCACGAAACCGTAGTGCGTCGTGATCCGTTTTGGCCCGCAGCACTCCCGCAACACTCCCTCCTCCCTTCCTTCCCCTGCTTCAGGGGCTGCGCCGACCACCCGCGGCAGGTGGGGGCGCTACACCCCCAAGGGGGGTGCGGTGCGATCGAAGAAGAGGGCGGGCATCGAGGGCTTGGGATATTCGTGTTTGGCACGCGAGCAGACAAGAACGAGCCGTCTTGACATGATTGTTGTTGTTACTGTTGTTGTTGCTCTTGCTTTTGTTGATGTTGATGTTGTTGATGCTGTTATTGACTTCTCTAGGCGGGGGTCGGCCGCTGCTGGGGCAAGAAAAAGGGGGCTGCCTCCCAGGAGTGCAAGGTGGGGCGCTTCCGGCGGGGGGTCCCCCCCCCCCCCCCTGGGGAAAGCCTCGGAATCGATATGCTGGAGGTCGATCCTCCTGGAGGTCGAGCCTCTTGCGCGCCGCCGGAGTGGTGGTCGAATCAGGTCGAGCTGCAAATGCCGAAAGGGTGGCGCGCAGTGCGAGCGGTGCGCGCCGACGGAAGCAAGCTCAGCCGGCGGCAAGCTGCAGCGAGGCCGCTTGGGGATGAGCCGGCAGTGGGAGAGTGGGTGAGATGGCTTCTTGCTCCTGCTCCTCCTGGCGCGCCCTCATCGTCGTCGTCGTCGTCGTCGTCGTCGTCCTCCTGGCACTCCTCCTTCTATCTCTATCTCCTCCTCCACCTCCGCTGTGCTGGATGCTGCCATTCTCTTCTCTTTCTCCCCAGGTAGTGACCCGAAGAGGGTGCTTCCGCTGCGCCAAGGAGATACAAAAACAATGCAGACCCGCGCACACTGCACATCCCGCGGCTGCACTCTGCTGCTGTCACGTGCAGTCCGCCACATTAAGGGACAACGGATCTACTGTTTTGGACTGTTTCGTTTGTCCAGAAGCCGACTTGGGACACACACCCAAGGCGAAGCGAAAGCATCCCGCACTCGGCACCGAAACCCTCAGTACGACATGGCCCCACATAACCCTATAAGCATGCACCGCTCGAAGACGTGTCGAGCATCCATTGTCCTTCCTCGTACTCCCCGCGGGCTGCGGATATTTTACTATGGGCTGGAAGCAAGGGCCCTCTCGAAACGGTGGTGAGGGGAAATGTTATGGGAGACTGGCTCAGGGGGGGAAGCGTCGATCTGGAATCGGCAATGCATCGACGCTAGACAACATAGGCCTTCTAGATGGGGTCGGACAAGACGGGGTCGGAGGGTCGCTCCGCATCGCCGATCCATCGGCGATGAATCGACGACACATCGGCGATGCATCGGCGCTGCACCGGCGATGCATCGTCGACATCGGCGGTGAATCGGCGGTGCATCGGCGACGTCGGCGTGAAGCAATTCGGGCTCCACATCGAGCCGCATCGCCGATGCATCGGCGATGCGGCGCGACCCTCCGACCCCATCTACTCGGACCCCATATAGGAGGCCTGGAGACAAGCGATGGGCTCCCGATGGCGAGGCCTAACGCTCCTAGGCGGATCGGAATATCAGGCCCCTATCGGCGATGAACGGGCGCCTCTCCCTCCGTCCTGCTACTCCTACTCCTCCTACTCCTCCTCGTCTTCCTCGTCCTCGTCGTCCTCGTCGTCCTCGTCGTCCTCGTCGTCCTCGTCGTCGTCCTCCTCTCCTCCTCCTCCTCCTCCTCCTCCTCCTCCTCCTCCTCCTCTTCCTCCTCTTCCTCCTCTTCCTCCTCCCTCTCCTCCCGTCCCCCTCCTCTCCCTCCTCCCCCTCCTCGATGCGTAACTTTGAGACCATCCCCGCCCCAACGTTGCCCCTGAGGTGGTCGACCTCCTCCGCCGAGCACGGGAAGGAGGCCGTCGAGACAGAGAGCCCGGGGGGGGGGCCAGACGATCAGAGGAGATCGGTGATGGCAACTAACATTGGGAAGTCTTCAGTTTGTCGATGAGGGCGGGGGAGGAGGAGCAAGAGGAGGAGGAGGAGGAGGAGGAGGAGGAAGAGGAGGAGGAGGAGGAGGAGGAGGAGGAGGAGAGGAGGAGGAGGAGGAGAAGGAGGGATTAGAAGGAGGACGAGGAGGAGGAGAAGCTGACCTTGGGAAGTCTTTCGCTTTTGGTCCCCCGCCTTCTCATTCGGCGGTGAGTAGGACGGGTCCTAAAACTTCGTCCTCCTCCTCCCCCCTCTCCGCCTCCTCCTTCTCCTCCTCCTCCCCTCCGCTCCTCCTCCTCCTCCTCCTCCTCCTCCTCCCTCCTCTCCTCCTCCTCCTCCTCCTCCTCCTCCTCCTCCTCCTCGTATCTCCCCCCTCCTCCTCCTCCTCCTCCTCCTCCTCCTCCTCCTCCTCCTCCTCCTCCTCCTCCCCCTCCTCCTCGCGGGGAGTGGCCCCGGGAGCTCCTCAGGACGCCCCCCGGGAGGACACCACCCCCGCAGAAGCCATGGGGACCTCACCGACATCTTTGCCTCCTCGCCACCTCTCCTCCGAGGGCCCCTCCCGAGGCCCGGAGGATGGCTCCGGGAGGCGGCGGGCCGCCGCCGCGTCGACGCGGCCACGTGGCGCAGCCCGCTCAGTGCACGACGGCCTCCGCCCTCCGGCTGGCCCCTCCTCCTCCTCCTCCTCCTCCTCCTCCTCCTCCTCCTCCTCCTCCTCCTTCTCCTCCTCCCTCCTCCTCCTCCTCCTCCTCCTCCTCCTCCCTTCTCCTCCTGGCCCTCTGGGAGGCCCTCTGGGAGGTACCGTCGAGGTTTGCTATAGGGGCCTTTGGGGGCCTTCCGGGGGCTTCTTGGTGATCTCGGAGGCCCGGAGGCCTCCTGTGGCCCCTGGGGTTCTGTTCTCGGCCTCGATCTCCTCTTCGGTCCTCCTGCCTCGCTCTCCTCCCCCCCCCCCCCCCCCCTTGAAAGGCACACGCGAGGGCATACAGTCAGCACGGACATGTTACCCTTGCAGTTTTTCCCCTCCGGCCCTTCCTCGGCCACTCTCGCTGGCCGCGCCCCGCTGGCCGACCCCTCAGGGCGAGTCGACACGACGGCAGCTCAAACTCGGTTCCAGGACCCCTCCTGGGGTCCACACGCGCCGATTTTCCGAGCTGCGTCCAGCAGGAGCAGGAGGAGGAGGAGGAGGAGGAGGAGGAGGAGGAGGAGGAGGAGGAGGAGGAGGAGGAGGAGGAGGAAGTACAGCTGTCTCAACTCGCCCTCCTCGGACCTTTCAGCCCTGAGCGCCCGCGTCGGCGTCGCCGCCGCGTTCCACGCGGCGCGAACCTGCCGCATGCAGACTGACGGAGACGTCGGGGCGTGCGCGGAAAGGCCGCGGAATCGCGAGGGGGCAGTGCGGTAAGTCGTCCTATCCAACTACATGCAACAGCGGAGAATTCGCGCCGCGCTCCCCCCCCTCCAGGCCTCCGAGCACGGCATTTGCACCACCCGTCCTCTGCTTCCCCCCTCCACCTTCTCCTCCGCCTCCCCCTGCCCCTCCTCTCTCCCTAGCTTTCCCCCTACCCCGGCTCCTCTTTCTGTCCTCCATGTCTTGCTTTTCTCCCTCTGCGTCCTCTACTGCTGTGCCCCGCCCTCGCTGCTCCTCGCGCGCATGCGACCTGCCGCCTGCCCCGTAGGACGCGGAGGAGGATGGAGAGGGAGGAGGCGACGAGAAGGGGGAGGGAAGAGGACGACGATCAGGGCAAGGAACTGGCGGTGGGGAGAAGAAGTAGGAGGACGACGAGATGGACGATGAGAGGGAAGATGATGATGGGAGCCACGTGGAGGATGACGGGAACAAGAGATGGACGCGGAGGAGGAATATGAGAAGGTCGAATACCTCTACGGGAATGTGAATGATGGAGAGGGAGACGATGAAAACGGAATGAGGCCGGTAAACATGTCTAAGCGAACTACAACGAAGTTGTGCCCGCCTTAGTCCTTCCCCGTGCACCTCTCAACTGCCACTGCTTTGTCCATCCGCTTCCCCCCTCGTCCCCCCTTCCTCTTCCTCTCGCCTCCTCCTCCTCCTCCTCCTCCTCCTCATCCTCAACATCATCAACATCAACATCAACATCAACATCAACATCAACATCAACATCATCATCATCATCATCATCATCATCATCATCATCATCATCATCATCATCATCATCATCATCATCATGCTTCGCCATCTCTGCTTCATCATCCTCTTTCCTCATCCTCGTCGTCCTCCACCTTCTTTTCCACCTCCTTCTCCTCCGCCTGATCTTGTTGTTACGCCTCCGCCTGGTCCTTCTCCCCCATCCCGCTCTTCCTCTCAAGCCTGCCTCCTCCTCCTCCTTCTCCTCCTCCCCGCGTCCCGTCTGATGGGGGAGAAGCGGGCCCGCGCCCCAAGGGCTTCCCGCCGCCAGTTTCACGCCGCCCCCATGTGAACGTTGGAAGCCCACGCCAGCTCAGGAGGACGAGGAGAAAAGAGGAGAGACAAGAGAGAGAGAGAGAGAGCGAGAGATAACCAGACGAGGATCAATTATAATACGAACAAGATGTGGACGAAGATAAGAGGATATCCGCGGACACCCTTGGGGACGAAAGGCTGTGAGGGTTGCTGCTGGACTGCTGTCTCGTGCTCTTTGTGTTGCTTTCGGTTGTTTGCTGATTGTTTTTTCCATTCTACACAGGGGGGGTGCCGACAGGCCCGGGGGAGAAAAGTAGGGGAGGTGGTAGAGCCTAACTCTCCTGGTAAGAGAGATCTAGGTTGTGCACATCATGCGGTGCAATCCCTGCGGTGCCAGCCGTGGGGTGCATTTAATTGCGATTGCCACTCTGCGCACCTGTGCGGCCGCGCTGGCGCGCGACCGCTCGCGCTCAGGGCGGCCAGCTGGTCTGGCACAACTGCTGCGGCCGCGGTGGCGCTTACCGAGGGGAACTTCCCAGCGTGTCTCAAAGGCCGCGCTGGCGCGCGGGCACTCCGGTGCGGGTCGGTGACTTAGGTGGACCCGGTGTCATGATGACGTCGACAACGACGGCAACGATGATGATAGGAGCGATGGTGGTGGCGATGATGACGATGACCACGGCAAGGTCAATGCCGGCGTCGAACGACGATTACGATGACGATGTCCATGCGTCGCTGATGACGGTGACTGAGCTGATGCTGGCGGAGATACGATGGTGCTGTCAAGGGAGATGGCGAGGAAGTGCGCGCGCAGACATTCAATACATCTGACAGGCTCTCTCTTGAAGAAGACTTGGCGCTTCATATGTTTTCGAAGAGCTCGATCTTGACATTGTCAGAGAACCAACGGTTGGGAGCAAACATCGACACACGCCTATGGTGGCGCGCGCGTGGCCCGCATGGTGTTATCTTAATGCAGCTTCGTGCTCTGAGCGCATGCCCCGGATCACCACAGATGAGCCGCGTGGTGAGGTGACGATGCGATGTCTGGACCGCATGGCTAGCACCAGACGGTTGCCCTACAGTGAGGGGGGCAGTCCACCAGAAATCCTCCACAACAAACCCAACCCTGAGACCTCAGGACGTCCATAGACTTCCGGAGTGGGACGCCACGCTTTCCATCGCAGAGCCATCGAAGCCCAAGAAACCCAGGGCACCCTGGAGGCGAGCAGGGTGTTTCTTGGCATGGGTCTCCACTGTATGGTTTCAGCAATTGCGCGCGGGTAGAAGGTTTGCCATATGTGTGATGGAATGTGTGAAAGGTTTGACATTTTAATGTGGATATGCTTGCAACAGTAATATGTCTGGTATGATTTGGGCATATGCCCGCTCGTGTTCACTTCGTGTTATCTTTGTGCAAGATATTCGTGCAAACGGATCATTTGCGGTAAACATGGCATTGTCAATTTTTTTCGCACCTGTTTCTTGCACCTGATTCTTCGACCACATGCATCATGACTATTGCAAATCATGTATTTCGGCATGTGCGCGCATGCTGAGGATGCGTGTGTGTGTGTGTCGATACCGGCCCGGCTGGCATGGTATGGCTTCGTATACGGAAAGAACGATGGGGGAGAAACATGCGTAAGCTGCCGTGCACAGGAGGGGCAAGGATAAATCAGGGGGGGGATGGTGGTAGAGTCTGGCTGGGGGAATCCAGGAAGGCATGAGCTGCATCGAATCGAGAGATCCAATCGGATCGCAAACGGGTCGGATCGCCAACGAACCTTCCCGAATCCGACCGGAAACGGATCGCCGCGCCGGGCTCCGGCTGGCACCGGCCGATGCCGGTGGAAACGGACTGAACCGAATCGGAATCGGAATCGCGGCCCCAGCTGGCGAATCGAATCGCATCGCATCGATAGGGGGCCACACGCGGACCCTACCCCTACCCCCCACGATTTCTGAGGGGGAGGGTGGGGGCAGGGGTACTCCAGATTTCGGAAAAAAGGGAGGGGGGTCTCATTTCGGGAGGGGGTCTCTTCCAGGCTATCTTGGAGGGCCTGGGGGGGTCTGGGGACGATGTTTTGGAGGGTTCTCCCACGGGGGAGGTCTGAAATGGCTTGTCTTGGAGGGTCCAGACCCCCTCCCTTTTATTACGAAATCTGGAGTACCCTTGCCGCTTCGGGGATCTTCTGACCCGGGTCAATCCAGACCTGGGTCAGGCAGGCCCGCCAGGATCCTGCAAGACCCTGCAGGAGAGAGGAGAGAGGAGGAGGAGGAGGAGGAGGAGAGGAGGAGGAGGAGGAGGAGGAGGAGGAGGAGGAGGAGGAGGAAGAGGACGAGGAGGAGGAGGAGGAGGAAATCTGGAGTAGGGTCCGCATGTGGCCCCCTAATCGCATCGTGGGCGGCCCTGCACGCAGGAAGCGCGAGGCAGCGCACGAGGCCGGGCGCGAGGCGGGGGGGGGACGGGCAGGCACGGCGCGCGGGCCCAGAGCAGACGGCCAGGCACACCGATCGCCGAAGCGCGAGGGCCCCTCAACGCAGGCACCGTCTGGCGTCTGGGGGGTCGTGGGCGCCGCGCGGAAGCACCGGGGCGCGTGCAGCAGCCTCAGACAGCGTGCGAGAGCATCCGAACACCTCCACCCGAACACACACCAGAACACGTGCAGGCAATTCCAGAGGGGGGAGGAGGAGGAGGAGGAGGAGGAGGAGGAGGAGGAGGAGGAGGAGGAGGAGGAGGAGGAGGAGGAGGAGGAGGAGGAGGAGAGAGGAGGAGAGGAGGAGGAGGAGGCGAGGAGAAGGAGGACGAGGAGGAGGAGGAGGAGCAGGAGGATGACCCGAACACGACGAGTATGATCCGAACACCTCCGCCCGGATCAAGCGGCGGCTGGCCAGAGCCGGCCCCCCCAGCGGCATTGTGTCTGGCGGCGGGAAGCCGAGTCGTACCTGCTGGCAGGCCCTGGGTGCAGCCACCAGTCCGATCCCTCCCTGAGGAAGTTTTGGCGGCGAGCGAGGGGGGGAAGTGAGAAGGAGAAGGCCTTCTCAGAAGGCGGCGGGACTTCTCAGAAGCCCTTGCGCCTTCTGAGAAACTTTCTCGATCTTCGGGGAAGGCTCAGGAAACTTCTCTCAGAAGACCGGGGGACTTCCGAGCCTTCTGAGAAGGCCCGCCCCTTCTCACTTCCCCCCTCGCTCGCCGCCGAAAGTTGGAGACGGGGTGTGTGGATGGACGTGGAGGTTGGAGAAAGGGGGTGGCGAAGGGAGAGGAGGGAGTCACGAATTCATGGGTATTGCAACTAGGTCGGTCACGATATTGGGCAAATCCCCTCTCGCCTGGCCTTCTCGGCTTTACTGTAAGCCTTAGACGGGTGGGGGGAGGGAGGAGGGGAGGCGGATGAGGAGGGGGAAAGTGTGGGAGCGGGGCGGAGAGGAGATGAGGAAGGAGGGGCAGGAGGATTGAGGTATATGGGGACGGAGGAGGACCGGACTGATGGGCAACCTTCTCTTCCGATTATACGTTGCGGTCTGAGCAGACTCCGCGCGGATGAGAGAAACCGTGCGGGAGTTACCTGCGCGTGCCTAGGAGGGAGTCCATGCAAACACCACGCCGTTTGATCGGTCACGGCGCTAGGTGTATAGGCGCCCCACGTCCTGAAGCCCTGGGATGATGGAGCGTCTATACACCGGATTCCTTCGCTGAGTTCATTGGTTGGCAGACCATACGGCGTGGTGTATACTTCGAGCCCCTCCATATGCTACGACACAAACAGGTAGCGCCAAAGCGGCCGAAACGACGGGTAAATGCAGGCCGCTCGGAAAAAGCGGGCAGGAACACGGGATAGGGACCGCGGCCACAGCAGACTGTTTTTGGCTGCCCCACCCCAGGCGAAAAAGAGAGGACTGACAAGGCCTTCTTCGGTTGTGGAGGTGGGAAAGCGATCAGAGCAGACGGAGATCTAGGAGTCCCGAAGTTAGAGAAAGAACAAATGCGATTGACATAAACTTTTGGCGCTCTGCGCGGATTTTTTGGATCTGCGCTGGCCCCACCTCCCCGGCGCGCGGAGCGCGCCCGGGAAGGCCCAGCGCGGGCCAAGAAATCCGCGAAGAGCGCCGAGAGTTTACGTTAATACCGATTTGTTTCTTTTTCGACACCTGCTTCCAACGAGCGGCCTGTAACTGCCTACCCCTCTCACAGGACGCCTGCGGACACGCCCTTGCAGCGAAAAGCCGCCCGCGCCCCTCGGGGCGGGGCACCCGTCACTTCTTGGAGACGAGGTCGTACCACGCGCCACCTGGCTT